CTAAAGACGTTCCAGACCATAGTTTCAAGGTAGGTTGGTGATGAAGTTTCGTGAACTGTTTGGTCGTCCGCAGCAGTCGATAGTTTCCGAGCCAGAAGGCCTACTCTGTTCAACATATTTTATGAAATAACCTAGAGTGGCGAAAGAGACGTCCTTTCATACTTTCCCTTACGTGAATAACATCCCAATTGTATCATCTGTTAACGGTACGAGAACAAGATCTTTATCACGACCTATGCTGTTAAGCTTTGCATATCTTCTCCTTTCTTTCTGATATTTGCTTTCATTTCTAGATCTATTTGGTGTCTTTAATCGTGGCTTTTCATTTATTCAGTCATGATTCTTCTGAACTACGGCGCAAGCGAATTTCAAAAATTATAAAAGTTTACAAATGCAAAAAACACCAATACCGTAAACAAAGCGAGACCAATGAAGACGTACGAATGCATCCTATGGACCGTCCTTCTTGCACCGGATCACTGTTAGGTGGCCTGCGAGTAACGTAGGCGCATTAAGGAAAATTTTTCTGATTCGACATTTTGTCCATCGCTATTTGAGGATAATCTGCATACGTCAGAGACTGTCTGTATTGATATGTAAAAGAAAGCGAAGAACAGAATTTGGCATAGCGACAAAGCATAATCAGATTTAATAATTATAACTCAGATTTTGCAGGTATGCGCTCAGTCAAAGAAGGTGCAAGAACAACGGACGTCGTTCATTCAAATCCTATTGAAAACGCCATTGCATGGTGTGTTCATGGCAGGCCGGCTCTGACGCCGTTCGGTGAACTCCTCGCGTGTAACCCAGACGAATTCATGGACGATTGCCCAAAAACCTATTACTGCAGTCGAGGGTACGGCGTGAGAGCGCATTGCTGTCCAACTGCAGGTAACATGGCGCGACGAAAAGTGATAATTTGAGGGTAAAAAATCAGTGTTTTCAGGATATTTCTGCTCCCTCAAAATCGACAGTGGACTTTTCAACTGTCCTCCAGACTTTAGGGGCCAATCAAGCATACGGTATGCATATGATGCTCAAGAAAACGATTGCGTTCCGCTGATGTACAGCGGCTGTGGGGGAAACTTGAACAATTTTTCTTCCAAGAAAGAATGTTTGCAGTTTTGTGCAAAAAGCAATTAATTGCTCGGCCTTTTACTTGCAGCATGTCTCAGAGAAGAGGCTTCTTCAGCTGTGAAAGACTGACATCTTCGTGAAATACAGTCAGTCACAAACAATGCTTACTTCTAAAGTTTCTTTTACGTGCATTATAAACAAGGCAGTAAAATAATTATGAATCACTATATCGCCATGCCATGATTGAGTATTTCGTTAGTCCATTTGTGATCACGTTATACACCGTATAAAAACATGGTTTACTCACACACTGTGCAAAAGCTTAGGCAATCAGGTGAGTTAACTAGCGCCGACGTTTCGGCTCGTGCTTCACCGGGTCTTCTTCAGGTGGACAAGGATTAATTTTGCTTTTCGTTGTGTATGAATAAGCCGCGCTTTGAAAACAATGATTTCGTTTTTTCATTCGACAATATCTCGACCTTCAAATACAGATTCTATTAAGTTATTTGCCACTGTCTTCAAAATATTTAATGCATAAAGAAGTGTGGCAATGTATCATACCGCGAATCGTTTATTCCAGTCCATTGATATTATCAGGTCTACAAAAGAATGACTTCAGGTTACTCCATCAAGTCGTCGTGTTACTGGCTGAGACTGCTGATAGCCACGAGATGCATATGACTGATTTTCTGTCAGTAGTCTGCACTCTGCCCGAAATATCCGACAAATATGCCTCAGTGGCATTGACCAGTGATCGTAAAACTGATTTCCTTCTCTGCAGCTGTCTCTGCGTATCAAGCTTAAGTACGTGCCTACAGTCAAAATGGTTTGATGGGTACACGACGTTCAAATTTTAAGCGATTTCATAGATTACGAGTACTATTGCTATCGATCATTAAGTTTCAAAACATGTACGCATTGTGAAGTGAAGCATCAACTTTAGACACTGTGAAGAGGTTATTCACAAAACTGAGGTAGACAAAGGGGTTCAACAAAGGTGGGTAGTTTTGCACAGCAACTGCTACAAACACTCGCGGTTCCATCACAGCCTGATACCTCTTGTGCTATATCGTTAGAGTCTTCTTAAGTGCCAAATGCAAATTTCATCATGTTCTTGTTTGTCTGTACACGAGGGAGC